CCTTTGTCATATGCTTGTCAGATGCTAAACAGATATTAAAATACACTCTATTTAACAAGGTTCCAAATGTTAATACAGAGCATTCTTTGTATTTTGTTTCATTCCCTCTTTTCATTCTCTATTTTCCCTTAAGAGAAGGGGGAAAGAGATTTTTAATAATTGTTCAAGAAAAATAAGATAAAAGAAAATAGCAAACATTGATATAGTATAATCTGAATGAGGCAGTTAATTGTAATGGTCTGAGTAAATTTGACCTCATATCATAAATATAAATTCCAATGCAACAAAAATAAGCTATTGTGTAAGGAAATATAATTATGGAAAATTTATCAAGACCAGTTTCTCTTTTAAAAGCAATAAACAATACAACTGTTCTTCCCCCCACCCCACTCCATTGTCTTACAGCCAGTCTATTCTAAGGAGAAATAAATTGCATGCCCATCCAAGCGTACCATATATTTAAAACAATCTCCAACCTCTCTGTGTACTTTTTAAGGGCCACTCTTCATTGGAAGGTCAAAGTAGAGGAGTTGAGGGATAAGGGGCTTTCACTAATATTATTTTCAATTCTGTGGGGATAAATGCCATTTAGTTCCAAAACTTGTCTGAGTTCTAGAACTTATGCCAGGTATAAAATATGTTCCTTAACATCTGTTCTAAATATCTTTAATTTTACATGATTGTCCTCTTAGTTTCTCATCTCTACTGGACTGAACACAGGCCTCCCCCCACCCCTTGGGCTTCCCTCCCTGTCCCCCCAGCTCTCCCTCTGCCCCTCAGGATCTCCCCCTGTCCTTCCCCCGGCCAGCCCTCACAGTTTACCCACACCCCCTATGTCTCCTGGTTTACTTGTGGCTGCTCGCCCAGCCCAGAAAGTGGCAGCAGGGACAACAGCAGCTGGATAGGCAGGTTCCTCTTTCCTGCCTACTCCCCCACTGCCCCTTGGGGTTCCCCCTGTTCAGGGGGCAGTGTGTCTGATCTGCACCGAGGGATGGGAACCAGGTAGGGTGTTTATACTAAAGTGTAGCCTAGAGCAGCTAGACATTAGTGTAACACAAGCTGAGTAACACACATCAAAGAGAAATCGAGCCCAGAGTGCCATAATTTTAAGCCGCATAAAGAGTGCTCAAAACTAGCTTCATGTGTTCATGTGTGGACAGTCCAAGGATTAAGAGCTCCAGGATCCAACTAAAATTAACATGAAACAAGGCCCTAAGTAACTAAGTTTGTCCCTACTGCACATGTACAAAAATACCGCCCTAAAAGTGTCCAATTCCCTTTATGCTCCAAGACACATGTGTGTGTAAACGCAATTCCGGCTTTACATAAGGCAATGAAGAATGGCGTTGGGTGACTTAGAGTTTCGGGAGTACTGTGCAAAGAAGGCTTCCCTCCATGCTGTAAGTGAAGGTTTCCAATGCCTGTAGAAGCACTGAGTGACTTAGGCAGTCAAGGTTTGGGTAGATGGGATAACTTTTATTAGACCCACTAAAAAGTTGGGAAAATTGTTCTTTGCAAGCTTTGGGGCAAAACATGCAAGTTGCATATACACCTTAGCACAGTTATATAATTCTGCCCTGTGTGTTACTAAGGCTGCATCCAGACCACTGCACCTAAAGTATCACTTTAACATATGATAAATATTCATTAGCATATGCTACCAGTTTATTGGCATATGCTTAAGCTGGATGTATACTTATAATCATGCCTGGACAAAGACATATAGATGTAGTTGCATTTCTGATCCCAATTGTGTCCTCAAACGATTTTTATTCCTCTGAATCTCCTGTCTCTTCTCCTTCATCCATCTCAGGGCTAGTGAATACATTACCATTTGTTCTTTTATACCCAGGCACACAACACTACCCACAAACAGCTTACTGGTTTTCTAGCACCACCTTCCTTCCTCACATCTGCTGTCCCTGTGACTTGAAATAGCTAATGGTCCAGGAACCAGTTTCACCTGGCTGGCACACAGGTTTGCACATGTCTAAGGAAGCACCAGAAGAACCCTCTGTCATTTGTGTAATAGGCGGTATGTCTAACCTGCTGCACACACCATTCAGACAATTTGTTCACCATCGCTTTCCAGCATGCATGTTGGTGTCTACTGCCCTTTCCCTGGGCTACTCCGCTGCAGCATAATCTCTCATTAAACCTCCTAAAGGAGTGCAGGGGGAGGGGAAGGAGGATTTGCACTCCAGCAAGCATCTGAAAATGCAGATTTCTGGCACGGAGAGGTTCAGGCATGTTGTGAATGGGAGATTTGGGAAATTTCCTTATGAATGCTTCCGGAACAATTCCCCCAATTTTCCCACAAATGCCATTGAAACCTGAGGAAAATCTTTTTCTGATGAAGGCTGGGGAAGCTATCAGATCCAAGAGAGCTCTTATTCACAGCCTAACTAGCACCTTTGTGTAGGAGACATGATTTGGGTTAAATCTGGTAAATGTAGCGAATGTCCCCCTGCAGCTAATCAAGCCTGGAAAAGGGGTGGCACTATTTCTTCACACACATCCTGATCAATATTATTTATCTGACTGCGTGTGTAAGATAGCCATGTCCCCTCCACCTAATGCCCACTCCCAGCCCCTCCACCCTGTGGGTATCAGCGGGAGAGAACCTGATGTCTGCTGGTAATTATCTGCTGCTGGAAAGAAGTGCTATTCCTTTTATTTTTGTAATGCAGATCAATGCACATGTCACTACTGAAAAGCGATGTCATTTAGGATGGAGCATTAACTGCTAGGAATGGATTCTGAAACTCCTCTCTGGTGGGTGGAATATTTTCAAGGGAAGCGGCACCTCTTGAATCTTGAATTTCATTTATCCCACTGTCTCTTTAAGAATGGCTGGGTTAAGGAGAGGGTGTTTGAGAAAGTGACAGTGTGTCGTCTTTATCTCCAAGCAAACTGGGGCTGGTGATCAAGTGGTAACCTGGGAAAGAAACAAACAGGAAATGCAGGTTAGCAGCAGTGACAGACATGAGGAGTGTTCTCAGTACCATGGTTTGATGGAAGAAAGCAGTGCCGTCTTGGGTTGTAGCAAAGAGCGGCCTAGAGGACAGAGGGCAAGTGCTAGAGAAGGGAAAAAGGGAGACTTAGGGTGGAAAAAAGAGAGTAAGACCTAGAGAGAGAAAGAAAAAAGACATTAGCACTAAAATAATTCTCATGCGGGTCTGGGAAGCATCATCTGGGGTGCTTTACATTTTCTTTTCTTTTGCCCTGTAAAAGAAGCTTCTAGCCATGCTCTGTACTAACTAAGATTGGGCGAAAACAACTAGAATTCAATTTTGCAAACAATGATACTTCCTTTCATTGGGCAGCAGTGGAACCCCAGAGTGTTCAACCTTTGTGTGTGTGTGCGAGACCCACTTTCAGTAGCCCTTAGTCCAATAGGGAGAGCATTTAACTAAGATTTTGGAGATCTGGATTTAAGCTCTTACTTTACCTGATTTAGATACTATAATAAATAATTAAGCAAACAAATCAACAGCAACAAAAAGGTATTAAAAAGTTATTAAGTCAAGTACACAAAAGTGTGCTCTTGTTGCAAAAAAAAAAGGGGGGGAGCCAATAGCGTACTTGGTTGTATTAATAAAACATCAACTGAATCTAGGAAGTGATTCTCACACTTTATTTGGCACAAGTGAGGCATCATCTATGTCCACCTTTGGGCCCCACACTTCAAGAAGGATGTGGACAAAGTAGAAAGGGTTCAGTGGAGAGTGACAAAATTGGTTGGAAGCATAACTTACGAGGAAAGGCTGAAAGAACTAGGATTGTTTAGTCTAGAAGAGAGATGACAGGAGGAGTATTTGATAAGTTTTCAAATAGTTAAAGGATGGTTATAAAAGGGGTGGAGGCAGGCTATTTCTGCAGCTGTAGGGGACAGACTAACAGCAATGGCTTCAAACTGCAACAGAAATGTAGGCTGAAGACTAGAAAGAAAACTTCCTAGTAGTAGGGTTGTTACTCATTGAAACAGGCTTCCCAGAGAGGCTGTGCAATCTCTGTCCTTGGAAGACTTTAACAGCAGGTTAGACAGACACGTGACTGGGATGGTTTTAATCAGGGGCAATTCTGCCTTGAGTTGGGCACTGGGGTAAATGACCTCTCAAGGTTCATTCCAATGATACTCTTCTGTGATTCTGTGATTAATTAAATTATCATCAGAAAACCAATTGAGACTGGGGATTATTACTGTAAAATTCCCATTTTACCCACAGGAAACTGAGGCACTAAAATTAAAAACAAAATGATCAAAATTACTCGCCTCCCATTGAGTGTCCAATCTGAAAAGCTTTGAGCCTGATTTGTACTTTACTGTATAACCTTTTATATGTTCACAACCTCATTCCCATTAAGCCTGATTTGCAGCTGTAAAAGTTGTAAACATAATGTTCAGCCCCTGGGCTGCCCGGTGGAACCCTATAACAATGAAGACCATATTGTGGCCATGTGAAAATGTTCAATATTTGTGATTTACCCACAAAAGTACAAATAAGCTGCTTATCTAAATATCTATAGAAAGGAGTCAGTGAAACTTTGTAACTTTCCTGCTACATAAGTTAGGAACCTAGATGTGCTAAAGCGAATTCAGACATGGTCAGGATTAGAATTTCTTTTCTTTTTTCCTGAAAAATGTTCAAGTCACATTAGAACCAGAAGGTTATAGAGCCCCATCAAACGAAAAATTCAGACCCAGGACTGACTATGGTGCTTCTAGGAAACTATCAACACACACACACACAGAAAGAGAGAGAGGGTCTCACCA